AAGGATAACATTTATATAATATTCGTTTGTTTGTCTATCTTTTTTCTTTTCACTTTTCATAATATTTTCCCACTTTAGGTGAAGAAAATATTCTTTTCTTTTCATTGTCGTACAATTATCTCACTTCGGGTGAGAGAATATCCTTTTATTTTCATTGTTGCACAATTATCTCACTTCTGGTGAGAAAATATTCTTCTCACTTCTGGTGAGAAAATATTCTTTTCATTATTGTACAATTATCTCACTTCTGGTGAGAAAAAATTGCTTGAAATTTCTTGATTTGACAATGTCTTCTGGATCATTGCAAAATCGTTATATATGTATATATATATAACATTCATGGAGAATTATACAATTTTACAACACATATCATTCACGGAGAATCATTCAATTTCAAAACCTTGCTCTGATACCACATGTAAGTTCTATGATTTTCTAATACATCAATTATAGAAAATTAAAGGATCTTTGAAATTCATGATACTCACATAATAATAAGAAAGTGTGTACCTTTCTCCATAGTAGAAAACTCCTTTGATCCTTAGAGTGCTTTGATCTTCTTGAGAAGAGAACCAAGATTTCACTCCCTTTGACTTTTCTTTCTACTCTCTCTATCTTTCGTGATGGCTAGGGTTTGAGAGAATACTTTCTGTCAGGGGTGTGGACCTTGTCTCACATTAGTGGATATTTATAATCCCTAAAGATTGTTATTTCTATCAAATAACAATTATTCTCATAAATGCTCCATTAAACCCATTTATGATTTAGTCTTTAATTATTTAATTATTTATTTATTAGTCCCTTTATATATTACATATTTCCCACATGAGACATAATTATCTTACAAACATAACTTACAAATAGAAAATTTTAAAATTAAATTATATTTTCAGTTAACTTATAATTTTAATTTGTTACATAATTATTGTTATAATTTAACTTAGTTAACTATTAAAATAATTAATTTATATTTTTAATATTTGTAAAAAATATTATCTAATATTTATATATATACATAATATATATATATATAATCTCCACTTAATTTTTTATTAGTTAGAACCCTCCAATAGTTACTTTAGATCAATAAATGTCTCCATAAATAAACACGACATTTTTTCAACATATTTCTTAAGCTTATTTTATCCTCATCTAAACACTCATACATTACTTGTTGAAAAACTTCTTATAAAACCACCTATTTGTAAATTGTTTCAAGTAAAATTCATTAAATTTTTAAGTCATAAGTTATCAAAAAAGTAAATTCATATTTCTTTTATCGGTAATACTAATTGAATTTTTTTAAGTAATTCTTAACCGTAAAATTTTTGCATTTCTTTTATTCTAATGCAATCGGAATGTGTTCATATGATTTTATATTTTACTAGTTGTAAGTTAAAATTTTAACTTTAAACTTTGACATAAAAACAAAAGTTTATAGATTTTATGAGCAACTACAATTTTAACTTGGAGAAACTTTTTATAAATTTATTTTTAGCTTCTGATAAGACTAATAGAGAACTAGGGCTACCAGAACAAAAACTAAGAAAGATTAATATAATATATTATTAAGTTTTATGTCATAATTATTATTCGTATAGTATAAACTGTATTCACTTATTCACTTAGGTGAGCGATTTGATCCAAATACTTAATATTAATCTAAATAATTCAAATAATTAGTTGACTAATTTAATTTAACCTTGTGAAAATGATGGACTCGGGACTTGTACTATCACTTCCTCTGCTTTGGGCTCTTTTCTTTCTTCGCTTCTTATTGCAGGCTATAGTCTATGGCTTGGGCTTTACTAAAAACATTATTCTCTCATCAAACTTACGCCTTCTTACTTCTTGTTAAATACACCTCTCTACATTAATAATATATTTTTATTATAAAATATTCTTATTCTTTATTTTTTAATTTACCCACTTAACAAGTTTCCAAGTCTATGATGTTCAAAATTTATTTTCAACCACTTTTCTCTTTTACTCACAAACATCAGATGCATTTCTTTCTTCCTCCCTTTTACATTCTATGATTTTATATTTTATCAATGAATATATCATTTTGATTAACGTATTATTTAGGTATTTGGTTGACTGGTGTAGCATTTAGATATTTATCTGATAATATGTTTTTAAGACGTATGTGTTGGTAGAATTTCGTGCCCATTAAATATCGAGTTAAGATATATTTAAATTATAATTAAAATATATTCCACTTGATCAGTCAAGTAAAAATTAAAACATTTTATTAGTAAAGAGCTATGTTACAGTTTCTGAAATTTTATCCAAATCATGATCCAAAAATTAAAATATTAATATATTTTAATAAATTAATTATAAAATAATTATTTAATTTAAAATATTATTTCAGCGTTAAGTTTGGGAAGCCAAATGATTTTTCATTAGTAAAATATGAATCAAAAAAATTACATAATAACTATAATAATGATAATGAGCCACTCATGATCTAAAGAACCTTAATGATAAGATAGTATTTGGGAAATGAGAGGGTTCCTGAAGATGAAAGGTTTGTGTGAGTTTAAATAAAATGAAGGTGATGCAGTAATAAGAATTGAGAAAGAAAGGTTATTCGTTTTGGCCCCTGCAGGCTGCAGCGGAGTGGAAAACGGCGTTGCGCACACAGAAACAGAACCTTGTATAGGAATAGGAGCGTCGAGGTGGCAGTGGGCCACGTGGGTGTGGGTGTGGGTGTGGGTCCCTTTCCCCTGCGACTGCGAGACGTTGGAGTTGGTGAATGAATGATGAGACTCATGAGAGAGAGAGAGAAATGATGGAGCAACGCATGACCACATCTACATCCACATGGCCGACTCTCCACCCAGTGAATCAAATCAAGCCACCTAAGCAAATCCGAATCTTCATGCCTATGCGCCACCTAAACCACAAAACAACACAAACAAATATGAAATATCCTAACCCCAACACACAACCATTAACCATTTTACATTTATGCTCCACCCTCCAACACCTGGCGTCTCCTCACACCACAAACACCTTTTTTATATTATTATTCTAATATAACCCATTTTTCTTTACTCTTACAAATATTTAATATTATATGCACAACATTCTGCTTCTGCCCATCTCAATAATCATTGCCTTTTTCTTTTTTCCACTTCTTTTTTTATTTATTTATAAAATTAAATATTATCTCCGAGGATTTTATTTACACACCAAAACTTTGCTTTCCGTTCTTAGTACATTCTAATTAAAATTAAGTTCATAATTAAACAGTGAAGAATGTCACGTCTAAATAATGTTAGGGAATGCTGTGGATTTTCCTAAGAAAAAAGTAGAAGAATAAATTAGCAAACTGAATTTTATATATTTAACCAATGGGGCTAAGTTAGCATAGATTTTTAGTTATGACAAGACCTTCCTTACACAAGGTCCACATACATTGCACCTCTTATGGACCTATGACCATTTTTCTCTAGCTAATTTTAAAAGTGTGTTTATGTAAATAATGTAATTCAATATTAATTTATTTATAAGATTGGTGTTGAAATTTATTAAAATAAATTTAAAAATACTTTTAAAGGTTTCTCCATATAAATAAATAAAAAAAATAAAAAAGTTAACTAAGAGACTTCGCTCTCTTTATTTCCTTTACTTTAGCAAATAGATACAATTGGAATAGGATCATAGTGCTAACAACCAAATTCACCAAAAAAGAAAAAAATAGTGCGAACAACCAATCATTAAACTCAAAGCTACACGGAAGGAGTGGAGGTACTTGGAGTTGCTATAGCATCCACATGAGTATATCATAAATAATGTTATGCACCGCATAAAGTTACATCATCTCTCACAAAACGATATAATTATTAAAATGTCAATGTACACTAAAATTGAAATGAATTATAATCAAACAATAATAAATTTATAACTAAATATATGTCCAAAGTTGCATCTAACATTATTAACACAATACATCCAATATAATCTGTAAATTTAATTTTCCTTTTCTACAATGCTAAAGAAAAATAACACGTGTTGGTGCAGGAAAGGTTTAGGTGAATGAAAAATAATAGTGGAGAAAGAAATAAAAAGGAAAGAATTGGAAAAATTTCCTTATTGACGCATAATCCAAAAAGGCAGAAAGAAACGGTGGAAACATTTTTAAAATTTTATATACGCGTTATTGTAATTGTATTGTGGAATTTCAGATGGGGAAGGGAATAGCGAGTGAAAATGAGTCTAGTTATGAAATAGAGGAGAGGGTATTTTGGGGTTTAGAGTATAAAGAAAGGATTTTTATTATATATATCTCTTCAAGTTGCACCTTCTTTCCTCTTCTCTTCCTTCTAACACCCATTCAACCATTCCGTACGACTAGAGAGAGAAAATTTGGGATAAAAAAGAAGCAAAGGGAAAGAAAAAAGAAGAATCTGCGATCTGCAATCTGAAATCTGAATCATTGTTTGAGCGATGAAGAAGTGCGAGCTGTGCAAGGTTCCGGCTAGGACCTTCTGCGAGTCGGACCAGGCGAGCTTATGCTGGGACTGCGACGCCAAGGTACACGGCGCCAACTTCCTCGTCGCCAGACACACGCGCACGCTCCTCTGCCACGCGTGCCAGTCGCTCACGCCGTGGAAGGCCTCCGGCGCCGCCCTCGGCAACACCGTATCGCTCTGCCAGCGCTGCGCCGGCGGAACCACCGAGCAAGCCCAAGAGAGCGAGGGCGCCAATGACGACGATTTAGACACCGACCAAGACGACGACGACGACCAGACCGAGGATGAGGACGAGGTCACCGCCGACGAGGACGGAGATAACCAGGTTGTCCCTTGGTCCTCCGCGCCGCCGCCTCCGCCGCCAGCTCCGAGTTCATCCAGCAGCGACGAGTCGGTTAGCCGGTGCAACAACAACGACGAGGATGTTTCTCAATCAGTTACCACATTGAAACGACGTCGTCAGAATAACGATTTTCAGGTTTATATTTAATTACTAATATTTTACTCTCTGCATTGGACGCACTAAGTTTTATGATTATAATTGTTTATGTCATTAAATTAAATTTATTTATTTGTTTTCACAAATTTTTCCTGTTTCCAAGATTTCAAAGTACTGATACGAGGAGTCTTTTTTTTTTAATTATTTTTATTTTTATTTATTTAAACTAAGTTGATTTTGTTACAGGATTCGAATTCGAGCAGTCGGGGATACGAAGGGAGCGAAGTGGAGAGGGGAGGTTGGTTGGTTCGGTTGCGGCGGCGAACCGCCGCGGAAGGTGGCGATGTGGCGGTTGAGCGACGGAGTTGTAGAGCGGCGTTTCCGTACGGTTGCTATAATGATAGAGGGTCGGAAGACGTTTGATCTGAAGGGACAGGAGGAATCTGAGCCGCGTGATCTAGGGGACCGTACCATTGAATATTATTTATGGACGCTTTGATTAACTTGCTCTAACAGCACTCAGTTTTTGATAATGACTATCAAGTGTATGAATCGGTTTTTTATTGTTCGTATTATTTTATGTTTCGATATTTTGAGGATCAAGGTTGTGGGGGTGATGTAACTTTATTTTATTCTATTTTATTATTGTAAAATAACATAATTTTTTTCTTGTTTATAAGTAGGTGAGGGTGCTTTATGTTATGAATAGATAGGAGAAACCACAAACAGATGAATGTGATTCCTGATTCATGATATTGATATCTAATATCTAATTCTCAACTATGGGTTTATCTCTACTTTAGTGTGGTATTGGTTTTTGGAAGTCAATTAATTACATAATGATATGCATGAAACATTTCATTTTGACACGTAGGGACCGAGGAATCAGGCTGCAATCTGCGCCCCAAAGTAAAAATTAGGCTGAAATTATTCAAGCCGACAATTTTTTTAAATGTTTTTCTTTTGACTTGTGAAATTTGATTAAGCCATTGAATGAGAGTATCCGAACGACAGATTTTCTTAAATTTATTGTATCTCGACTTGGTTGATAAGGTAAAAAGGGATTCAATTAGAATATCATTCAATGATAAAAAAGGGATTGAATTAGTTTGGTTTGTTTAAATGATTTGATCATTTTTACATAAAATAAAGTTAATAGAATTGAGAAAGATATAATAATGACTAAGGTAATTCTATAACATGTTTTAAGATAAATTATATCAATAAAAATATTATATAATAATATTTATTGAGTTACGAAGTTGTATTATTAAACTAAATTTAGATGATTTTTTAATAAGTACTTGTAAAGAATAAAATTAAAAAACAATGAATTGAGTTTCTCTTCTAAGTTAAAACCAATTTGTGTATTTAAGTTTTATAAAAAAAAATTTAAATTTTTAAAAGTTGATATGAATATATTATTTTAATTAATGATAGAAGTTTAATTTAATTTATTTTTATTTAACCCTCTAATAAGTTTTTAAAAATAATATGTGCATAATATTTTTATTTTAAAAAAATATTATATTAAATTTTTATTTTTCAACTAAAATTAAAAAAATATTAAAAAAAGAGTGTTAAAAATAATATCATTTCTCATAAGAGTATTATTATTATAGATCAAAATCACTTATTTCATTCTTTATCCTCCAATTATATTATGTCATGTCAATAAAATAGTTGTATTTTAAAATTTCCATCATTTTAAATATATAATTTATATGTTTAAAAATATATATTTATATAAATTTTAAAATAATATAACAAAAAATATAAATTTACTTATTATAAATTTTAATTATATATAATAAGAATGTAATATATACAATTTACATATTAAAATATTAGTTGAATTGAATTTGATTGTTTTGAATTTAATTTTATTTTAGACAAATAAAATTGATATTGTGAATACTCATGTAAAATCAACTCCTATGTATTAATTAAACATCAACATTTATCTTGTATAAGAGTATTTTTAGAAATTTCTCTTTAATAAGAATGTTTGTAAAAACTTTTTTAATTTCTTATTTAATTTGATTTTTATTTATCATAAATGAGACTTTAAAATTGATATTTTAAAATAAACTAAAAAATTTTATTTATCAAGGAGTCTTCAATTTTATCCTTTTTCCAAGTCCCTCCGCTAAAAATCTAAATGCCTATTTGATATAATTTAGTTTTAAAAAATATATTATTTTGATAGGAGTTTTAAAAGAAAAATACTTCTTCAACAAAATAAGAACAATACAACACTTGGATGAGAAATGATACAGGTAAAAAAGAGAAGAAAAAAAATAAAAAAAAAAATATATATATATAGAGTAATTAATATTTGAGGCAAGATCTACTTACTCCACTTAATCAATCATGTTCTACATCAAATTTTAATGATCCAATTGTTGAATTAAATGTGTTTAATGCAAAGATAAAGTGCAATTATTTTTTAAAAATTGAAAACTATTTTTAAAAAATTTGAAAGCCTTAAGATACTTTATAATATAAATTCAAATTGACAGATAATTAGAAAATCATTTTATATATTGATTTAAATCTATATAATGAGACATCATATGATTTCAATTTAAAAAAAATAAAAACTTTATCTATTTTTTAAGAGCATTTAATTCAATAGTTGAATTATTAAAATTCAACGGAGAACATAAGTTATTGAGTGAAGTAAGTGGATCCCTTTCTCTCTCTCTCTCTCTCTCTCTCTCTCTCTCTCTCACACACACACACACACACACACAAATGAGGACAGATATAAGTCTTAGTAGACTTACTCCACACAATAACTCATCTTTTACATTAGATTTCAATCACCAACTATTAAATTAAAAGTTCTTAATGCATAGATCAAGTTTATAAATTTAAAAAAAATTGAAAACTATTTAATACTTCATTTCATTAATTCGAATTGATAGATAATCGTAAAAGACTTTTATACATTGATTTGATTTAATGAAATTTCACATTTTTTTAAAACTTGCATACTTGATATATGCATTAAAAAATTTTAATTCAACGATTGTATTATTATAATTTAATGTAGAACATGAATTTATCAAGATTTTCATGGCCGAGTTTTAACGTTGGAGGCGTAGTCAGTGAGGTTAGTTTCTAATGGCATGGCGCGATGACTGAAGTCTAAGTCGAAACCACAGACGAATGAAACCCATGTCGAGGTCTTGATTGAGAAAAGTGTTAGGTCTCGGATTACGCTTCATTTGGCTGAGACCTCGTTATGATCTTCATACGTATAAGGTCTTGGTCTAGGTTTCGTCTAATCGAGGCCTTGGCATGGGTTTTGTACGTCTAAGGTCCCGGCCAGGCTTCGCCCAGTCGAGTTCTCGGCCTACGCTTCGTTCAGCCGAGACCTCGTTATGGTCTCCGTACGCCTAAGGCCTCGGCCCACACTTTTCTCAATCAAGACCTCGACATGGGTTTCATTCGTCTGTGGTTTCGACTTAGACTTCAGTCATCGCGCCATGCCATTAGAAACTAACCTCACTGACTACGCCTCCAACGTTAAAACTCGGCCATGATCATCGCTCCTAAAAGAGGATCATGTATTCGGCTATAATAGTCGGTAACAAATCATAGTTGACAACCATAAGGGCAGAACACCCTGGTTTGATCACCGAGGCCAATCAAAACCAGCCACATGGGGAACACACACATCACCACTAACGGTCGAGACAGACCCCTTTTTTTCCCACACCGAGAACCACGACCCTACACATTGAAACCGTCTTCGCCTTTTACATCCTTGACGCTGCAGGGGTTGTATACTGAATGGTAGCCGACCAGGCCGAATACCCGAGTCCGAGGATGATCATAATACCCAAGCCCACTGACTACTCGCAAATTGAACGGAATGCGTCGGTGTGCTCGGCCAAGTTTCAACCCTACGATAGGATGATTACGGAGAGCTTAATTAACATAATGCGTCGGATTAACCCCCTAATTTTCCGGGGCCCAATCTCTAATCACGGCCCAACAAAAACCACCATAAATAGGAACCCAACGAGGTATGTAACTAACTTTCAACTACCGCATTTATTACGTCGAGTAATTACTTGAGCGTTGGAGTGTCTTTGCAGGCACACCCCCCTCACATCGGACTACCCAGATAGGAGTGAGAAGACCGAGACCCAGGATCAGACCCGCTACAACAAGGAAAAGTGAAGTGTGTATCCTAACACAGGAACAGTTACGTTAAGTAATTTTCATATAATCGATTATGTTTAGTTATATTAAGTAATTTTATTATATAATTTATATATATATATAATATAATATGTTAGATAATATATTATATACATATATAATTGATTATTTTACTCAAATTAATCAAGTATGTATGTTATAAATGTCACTATTTCTCGCATTTTTTAACAACAATGTGAAGAAGTTAGTTTGGTAAGGCTTATTCATTCTTCCAAACAACTTTTATATACTTCACTCTTCTCTTCTTTTTCACTTTCACTCTCTTTTAATAAGATCAATCATTGAAGAAAAAAAAACTTATATTTATTAATTAAGTTATAATAATTTGAATTTTAAGTTTAAGTATGAACTATAAAATAAATTATATTAAAAAAATTCACACTGAATATGTTTATAGTTGTCAATAAATAATATTCATTGTTTATGATAGTAGGTATTTTATTTTATAATAATATCATGATTTTAAAAAAAAATTCTTTTGAACTAAAGTCAAACTCTCTCCAAGTCAATGGAAACGATGTCAGATGACTCTAACGAATTCTATCACTGTATTTAATACAATGGAAACAAAAATAAAAATAAAAATAAAAAGAATATATAGCGAAGAAAGAAGAGAAATGGTGGAGGAAATAAGAGGATTGTTATATAATTCTTTGAAACATTAAAATATTGATATCTTTTAATAAATTTATTATAAAATAATTATTTAATTTAATATTTTATAATTTAAATTAATTTTTAATGATTTGGAATGATTTTACGTTATTTCGTTTCATTGTCTCCACGTGTAGTGTGGATTCTCATGCATTTCAACAAATGCTGCTGCAGCGTGTGCCGATTTCTGGTCACGGCGTTATGTAGTAACTCATTCGGGAAATGTTAATTTTGTTTAAAAAAAATAACAAAAAAATGTATGTATAAAAAAGAATAAAAAAGACAAAAATATAGAAGCCAAATGTAACACTTCAATTTTTATACTTTTTGTAAAAGGTAATTTAGTAATTTTTCATATGATTTCTATCTATCTATCTATCTATCTATCTATCTATCTCTCTCTCCCTCTATCTATCTATCTTTCTCTCCCTCTATCTCTCTATATATACATATGTGTGTGTGTGTGTATACATCACTAGTAATTCATTTTCAACAAAAATAAAATCAACATGCAATCATCTTCCTACCAAATTCACCAAAAACACTTCAACATATTTAGAACCCACAAAAAACTACACAACATGTGATTCATCTCAATCATTTGAAAAACCATGAATTTTCAAATAAATCATGCATCATAGATTAACATAGACATGAGTTATAGTTTCCCTTACATCGAAACCAAAGAGAACAAGGAGGAGGAGGAGAAAGAAGAAGAATAAGCTTCTCTGAGAAACTTCACGTGACACAACCTTGATTCTTAGTGATCCGACTTTGAATCAACACCCAATAACAATTCTTATGCGCTTAGGAAGTCTAGAAAAAAGAAGAAGAGACAAAACTTTAGAGTCCCTTTCACTAGTTTATCTCTCTAGAAATCTTAGGGATAAACTTATGAAACTCAATT